TTAACCCCCCTCCCACTTATTCTAATTCTAAATTCTAACATAGCCATCGCACTCTAAATTGAAATTGAAAATTCGACTTTTTATTAAGCAAGAATGTCAAAAGTTGACATATGATACGTCATTCTATTCAGAATATCATTTTTTATCGAATAAAGTAAAAATATACCGGGGGTGCCATTTAAAAATCAAAAGTAGTAGTCATTTCCGGTGAAACAGGAAGTGACCAAAAACAATTGAATACGCCAATCAATCCCAATTTATGTCATATACTAACATACCAAATCTCGTTTTTTTATCTGAAAAAATAAAAAAGTTATAGGGGTGAGCCACTTTTGAGACGTACCCGGTATATGTAATAATTATTTGTTTAAACGATATAAAAGTTTTATATTTTAACCCAAACAAGGACATTTAAGAATTAAGAACATTATACTAATTAAAAAACACTAGTTTATAAAAATAAATTCCTTATTATTTATAAAAACGCAAATATGTATATAGTTGTTAAAAAAATTAAGAATTAATAATAAAAGCAATATCATTTTTTTTCGTATTCAGCTAGGTATAATTGACAACATCCATTTATAAAAAGTTAAATAGTTTTTAATGATTTTAGTACATACCTTCTTATTTGCTTAGTATGAAGTCTTAAAAAATAATGTGTTTGCCAAATTCTACTAATATTAATTTAAATAAATCCAATATTTACATTTCGTTTTTGTTTAATATTCCTGTCGATCATCATTATTGTTCTTTGTATAAAATGATCGAAAATGAGTTAATTTACAAAAATATTTCAATAAAATTTCAGAAAAAAATGTTTGTGCTTTTAAATATTATTACTATATATAATATACCTGGTATTAATAAACGTTTTTGTATAGGAGGAAATAAATATACAGAGTAGTCCGAATTGTATTCCGGAAACTTCGGCAGCATATTCTGCCGATAAAAATAAGTAAAAAAAGGTCGTATAAATGTATGTCCTAAAATGCTTAGTTTCGGAGATACAGGGTGTCAAAGTTTCATTTTTATTTCGATTTTTTCCAAATAATTTCTGAAGTAACGTCAATATTTGGATGAAAATTGGTGCCTGGGGTTTTGTGACACGAGAAATTTGATTTTGATGTCAAAATTACTCCTATTTGTAGAGGGCGCCACCTACACGTGTTTTAACTGTTTTGAAGGGTAATAACTTAACGTCCGTACCTGTATAAAACTACTGACACAAAAAATATACATTTCGATGACTTTCTACGTAACAAATGCCTCTTGGTAAAAATTGCTACGAACAACCGCTCTCAAGATATTTAAAATGGAAATAGTCAATACATGTCATTATTGACCAAAAATAAGCACACTTTGAGTATGGTTATTTGTTATTTGATTGAAATAATACATTTTTATTTTTTTAAATTAATCATAATTTTTTCTGCGAAAAAATGTTGATTAAACATTTTTTGTTGAACTTTTGGCACAAAAAGTTTCAAATTTATGATTTCAATCTAATAACTATTTAGTCAACATATTTAATTTATGTCAATGATGACAGGTATTGATAATTTTGATTCCAAATATCTCGAGGATCATTACTCGTAGCGATTTTTACCAAGAGACCTTTTTTTATGTAAAAAACGCCGTAAATGTATATTTTTTTACTCAGTAGTCTTATACAGGTACGGACGAAAAGTCATTACTCTTCAAACCAGTTAAAAAGTATGTAGGTGGCGCCCTTTACAAGTAAGAGTGATATTGACATCAAAATCAAATTTCTCATGTCAAAAAACTCCTAGACACCAATTTGTATCCAATTATTGACGTTACTTCATAAATTGTTTGGAAAAAATCGAAATAAAAATGAAACTTCTACATCCTGTATCTCCGAAACTAAGCATTTTAGGATATACATTTATACGAATTTCGGTAACTTTTATTGTAATTTAAAAATTGTTCTTTATTTCCAGAAAATGTTAAATATGTCAAAAACTACATTTTAGTCATATACTTCCTTATAAAACTCACCTTTATTTTTCTCCCAAAATCCTAAAATCAATTAATATATAGGGTGTTCCATTACAAAAAACACAACTTTGATATGTAACTTTTTTGGGGGACACCCTATAGCACTCTCTATATTTTAAAAAAGTGCTCTGAATTAACTTACATACGCTCACAAAATTTCATTTTAATACAAACTATCGTTCTCCTTGGAGCCGCGGCGTATGAGAGGCGCCACCCTGTATATCTAAATGAATAAATAAAAACGCAAATAATCTATTCCATCTTTTAATAACAAATTTAATAATGATTAAATCTTGTTTTATTTCCTTTTTAGACCAATACTTTTTATCAATCGTTAATTAGACATTAGAAAATATATACAATTATCGTAGAACTTAGATTCTGAACAACAGTCCGGTTACACAATAATCGTGTAACAAACATAACAGTTGTTTAATTGAGAGAACAAAACCGTTCAACTAATAGAGTAAAAGATGCAAACAAAAATACCACTATTACCGGCATTTATTCAAATGCAGTTAAATAATCATTAAACGGCCTGTTATTTTCGCCATTTAGAACTAACGACATATTAAATATTATGCACATATTTAAGGCATTTATTAATTACACCACCGGCAGCCTACTTTTAACTGTTCGAGTATTTATTTAACCAGCATCGCTCCGGTTAAAACGTTTAATGACAGTCTAGGAATTCGTTAACAGCTTGAATTATTGCTTTTCCTTATTTGGTATGGTTTATAGACGTACACAAATCGATCAAAATACGAAAAAAAAAATGGCAAATTCACTTCGAAAAACGTCTATTACGCTGTACTTTCGGGTCGCTCTCAGGGGTCGGGTAAACCGGGTGTGTGGCCGATGGAAATTTATATAGATTATATTTCAGAAATCTGCCCCAAGGCTTAGCCCGATCCTGTCGTGTTAAGTCACATCCAAAATTCCAAACACATGTGCTTTGATTAAGGCTTGATTAAGGTTTGCAGAGCTTTAGCATTTGCCATAAAATAGCGAGCAATTTGTTACAAAACCATATAAAATATATATCACTCTAATCACAAAACTTCAATCTATTTCTGTATTCTAACGGAATTTTAAATTATGTCTTTATTTTCGAGAAAATTGAGTCCAAACATAAGGAATACTTTGTTAATGATTAACCATCAAAATCTTAAAAATAAAGAAGTTGTCTAAAAATGTGCTACAATATGAATATATAGTATAATCCTTTATCTTTAATTTCCTTCTTTATTTGTGTAAAAATACCTAGGCCAGTTCTACATAAAACGTTAAATGCCGAACGCTTATTTTGCTACCTATTTCGGAGTAGTGAAGTGGACTCTTAATGAAATGTATCTGTATCATACCTTAAGTACCACTATATAGGGAGAACACACACAAGGAGACACTACACCACGGTCGACAGATCCGACTAATGAAATTTTCAAGCAAATTTAAAGAAACAGTGCTGATAAAGTGTTTTTTTGCTAGTTATTTGGACTCCGCCTTATTATTTTTAGGGTACCAAAAAAACGGCCAATCAATTAGAGACTGGCGTTGCCTGTGGAACTGAGATTAAAAATTATTGTTGATTTAAAGTTAATAGTTTGGCAAGTTAACTTTGTTATAAATGGAAGGATTTAAAGTAGATATTTTTATTTTTTTTACATTAAAACACTTTAGAAAGAAAACAAAAAGTAATTAAATAATAAAATTTATTAAACTGCCTCCATATTTTTTTAATTTTTTTACCTCATAAAAATTAATATTTTCTTTAAAAATTGTTTATAAATATTGTTTTTTATAAAACATATTTTTGGGTTAGGTGGTAGAATAGCTATTAGCTAAACTTCGCTCAGTGTCACTATCTTTTTTTTAGTACAATAAAGACGATTTATTATTATTATTATTTATTATTATATTTATTTCTAAATATACAGAGTGTACACACATTTCCAGTGACAGTGATTTTCAAATAAGTCCAAAACAACCGACTTATTCTACTTTGAAAATTTTCCAAAAAAATGATATTTTGCTTACATTTTGAGAACCACTGAATCTTTTCTGGGATTTCTTACTTGTAAATTTAATTTACTAGGTACCTGCGTTGCCATATTATCAAGAAATTATGTTTTTTAACTAAAACCTAAAAAAAATCCAAATTTTCAAAAACATATTTCGCGAAAAAAACCTCATAATCGTGTTTCTCTGGGGTCGAAATATACTACCCCTAAAAATATTTGCACTTATTTAAGACCCACCCTGTATACATTATACATTCACACATTTATTTTTTATTGCTGTATTTACAGGTAAACATGAAAAGAAATCCTCCACATCATGTTTTATATTTAATTTTTTTATTCTAAGCTTTTAATGAATATACAGGGTAAGTGAAACATATTTATAGACAAAGCTGTATTTTTTTTAAATAAAATACTGTATATTGTGTATTTTGATCACAAAATATTCCATAAAATTGCCATTTTAACCATAATACCATAATGTCATAATTTCTCCATAAAAAAAGTATATATAGTTTTCAGTCACCTCGTATACCTATATCAAGTAATTTAGCCTATTTTGGTGGGATTAGTTAAGAAGTGAAGAAGACGCTATCATAAAATACTTCCGGTTATTTTTGCCATTTTTTCGAAATAATAACTTATATCAAAATGTATGTACATCCGTAATATTGTGTGTATATAAAAATAAATAATATTAATTTCAATACCTATAATCATAATCCTATCATTTTTAAACATTGTGGTTAACGATTACGAACTTAATATCGTATATTAACCTATCTCGTTTGATTAAGTTATTTTCGAGAAAGGTTAAAACAATTAATTGATATTTTTCTCAAAGCTGTATTTTTTTTTAATTCTCCATTGTTTGTCAAAGAGTTTTTTGGGAATTCCTAAATTGTTTTACATTGTATTTAGAAACATAGTATATTAAATAAAATAAACACCTACCGGGTGTGTGAATTTGTTGTTGGCTTTGGTCTACTGGTCCGGGTACCACGTGGAACACCTCCCCGATCTCCGGAGACGTTTCCTTGCCCTCGGCCCTCCTTTGGAGCTGATGGAGCTGCTCCATGTGAAGATGTTTCAGCGATTTGACGTGTTGTAGTAACGGCAGTCGGTTGGTTGCGGAGAACCCGCAAAGCGAACAGTGGAACACTCGAGGTTGGTTAGGTTGGAGACACGAACACCTCTCGTGGAGATGCTTCAACAGAGCCACCCCCGCGTCGTGCCTGCCCGCGGCCGCGTGCAATTGCAACTTATGCGCGGAATTGGTATAATAGTCACACGCGTTACACCGGATTTGAACACCACCAGGCGCAGAAGCGTACTTCAACTTCCACTCGTTTCGAGGCCCGCCCTCTTTCACATGGTTGACGTGTTGCAGCCGTTGTAAATGCTTATCAGTCTTGCAGTGGAGCTGGAAATTGGCTTTGAGGTTCGTTTTGTAAGTGCACAACTTGCAGATATAGTGACCGGCCACCACGGCCAGAATCTCCTGCTCTCTCAGTCTCGTTCTGTCCAGTGCCAGATGTCGTCCCAACTCTTCCAACGAATCCGTTTGGAACACGTTGCACACGCAACACTGGTAGATTCTCTCCGGATCAGGATCGGCGGGTTCAGGTGGAGGTTCCATCGTTTCAGGGTTCAGTCCTAAATCCGCATGAGCCGCCAGGTCAGCGGGTCCCGCGTGTCCAGGTAACTGCCCGCCCGTCATCATCTGAATGAGCAGCGCCTGATTGTACGCCATATCGGCCAAGGCCGCTTCTGGTTTCTCACCGAGGCTCGGGTACATACCGTACAAACTCTCGACGTGCTGCGGCGGGTGTTGTTGCTGGTGATGCAACGCGCTCAGAGTTTGCATGTGCTTGACGTTCTGCTGTAGCACCAACATGTTGTGCGTGTGCTTTTCCGAAGTCATGTGAATGCGTAGATTGCGCGCGACGTTCGTCTCGTAGTTACACACGTCGCATCGGAAGCTAGGTTTGGGTTTATGGCCTGCGCTGACCGGCGAATGATGCATTGGCGCTTTAGGCGATGCTTGACGCGTCTCGCCGTTTGGTCCTCCGCCGTTTTGGAGCTCTTGCATGTTGTTCAAATGCTTGTCAGATTGCATGTGTATACTGAGGTTGCCCTTCGTAGTCGTTGAATAATTGCATACCTCGCATCGGTAAGGTTTGTAGCCGCACGTGTAGGTTTCGCCTCGCGCCAATCGTGGATGAGGTTGCTGGGCGATGCAGTAGATGCAGCTCGTCTCCGCTTCAGGATGTTTCTCTTTCATATGGATTTCTAACGTCTCTTGGTATTTGTAGTGCCAATTGCACTTAGGACATTTGAGCGTCTTACAGGAATTACGACTGTGAACGTTGGCAAGGCCTGCCGGGCCCAACCGACCTGATGCGAGTATCATCTCACATCGGGCACACTCCACGCCAGAAGGTCTGCCCTGAAGGTGTTCAGGACACACCCCAATAGTCGTACCAGTCATAAAGGCTGGAGGCGAGGCAAAAGGCGGACTAGGCGACTTTCCAGGAACTTGGCCTTGGGCTTGTTGAGGCTGCGACGAAGGGTGTCCGTCTCTGCCAGGTACGGTGGTCTGTTGTTGCATGGATTGAGGTTCGGGCGTCATATGACCTCCGAGAGGCTCTAACAAGGAAACTACTGGCCTCTTTTCGGCTCCCACGCACTGCAGGATCGCTCCGCAGTCCTGCGCCAGTACCTCTCGCTCGGCGTCCTGCAACGCGACTCCGTGTTCAGCACTGGCATGGCTGGCGAAGGACCTCGCGAACCCGAACGACAACCGGCACACGAAACACATGAGGATGGGCTTGATGGGCAAGGACGCGGGTCGCGGCGGTCTAGCGTCCCTCAGAGCCACGACGCGGTAGCTGTGCACGGCGGGCAGTTCGGATGGTCGGGTGGGTTGCCGTAGCATCCGCGACACGTAGACGGCCTGCAGGGGCGGCCCGTTCTCGGGGGCGGCGGGGGCTTGGGCCTCGCAGTCGCTCTCCGAGTCCTCGATGATGTAGGCCGAGCCGTCGGGGTTGTAGACAATCTTGCCAGCGAACTGCTCCACGTCCGACGTGGACTCCGTGGGGGACGGCAGACGCGTGGGCGGCGGCGGTGGTGACGCCCCCGGAGCTGCCGGGGGCGGGGAGGCCTCTTGCTCGGGGCTCATGGCGGCAGCGGGCCGCGTCGTCGGCTCAGGAGCCGCGGACAACGTGGGCATTGCGGGGCATCACATGGCAGACAGTGGGACGCCCTGAAACAAAAAAATAGATGTAAACAAATATATCCCATTCACAATTTTTTTGGGCATATTTAACTATTTATTTAAAGGCGAAATAAGAAATATATTATAAAATATTACACAGTTTATAAATCTATTACACGGTCTATGACTCTTGGCTACGTATTAATTTTTTTTGCTTGTAACGTAGTAAGAATGACGTTTTCTAGTTTTGTTTATTTAATATTATCTTGTTGTGTTCAAAAAATGTGTTCATTTTTATTTTCTTAGAAAATTTGTAGGTATTTAAGTAATCTACGGGAACACGGTTTGATAACCAAGTCTATGGAATTTATTGATAGAGAAATTCATGTAAACGTTTTATTCAAAAATGTGTTTTTTTAATTATTATTCTTCATTTTGTTAAAAAACAAAAGCCCTAGGTTCCCATGGATGAATTGCTAGTTACGCTAATGAATATACTACCTCTAAAAATATTTCCATTTATTTAAAAAGCACCCTGTAGAACAAAATGACAATACAATATTGTTATGTCTAATAAATGTAATGCTAAATACGTCTAAGTTTAAATATCAAAAAATAACCACTGGAGCAGAACATCCATGTTGTGTCTCTGAATTTAGATTAATTTTTTAAAAGATAGATTGCAATTACTATAACTTGACTGATGTTTCAAAGACGCATAGTCATTGTGCTCAAGAAAGAAAAAGAATAACAAAAAAGAACTTCAAGCCAACCAAGGCTTGAAAAATATTAAAAATAAATTTGACGGCATTTTTAAATTGAAGTGTATTTTTTTGATATGAATGAGGTAAAAGCATAATATACATAAATTAATTGAACTTTATTCTAATATTAACGTGTCACGAAATAACAAAATACCTGTATATATACCATAGATATAGTAGATATTAATATTCATACAAGTATAATTACTTGGCTGAAACAATCTCGGTATTTAGTCCATATTTAGAGCGGTCAGAGTTATCCAGCACTTGGCTTTAATATCGTCCGGTGCTGCATCTCGCCCAAGAATGCATGATTGAATTGCAACTAAGAGCCTGTTCACACCGGTCGGTGCATCACTGTCAAGTTGTAATTCATTTCGCGTCTAATTTTCTTTTTCCAAAATGAATTATTTATAGATATTAACATAGCCTAGCCAATATTTATAATGTCGGAATGAATAAATAGACACTTTTATTGGATTAGTAATAAATAAAATGATGGTGAATTTTACGTTTAGTTTATTGACATATATAGATCGTTTAGAGATTGTACTTGATGGCTTGGATTGCAATATGTTTTTATCTATACGATTACATTTGTAATTCTAAAATCTATAAACTCGGGTGTGAATAAATTGATGTGTTTGATATAAATATATTGCAAACAACTGAAAATGTAGGACTGTATTTTTGTAAAAAAAAACGTTGCTTTACAATAGATTGTAAATATTTAGAAATATCAATCGCTGATACTACTTCTGGAACCTTAAAACCATCTCTGCTAGAGGAACTGTCAAGAAACTGTCAACACTCTATTTCATGGTTTTGTCTTGATTAAGACCAAAAGAAAATGCATGTTTTTAATGCTAGAATTGTTGTATATATAGGGTCTCCTTCTAAAACGAATATCTCCAACAAAAAAGCCATTGAGATGAATAAAAAAATATTGAGAAAAGATGCACTTTGACGTTTTTTAGTTTGTTGAATTATTCCAGAGAATCTATTAATTTTTTTTCACTAAATAAAAATGACAGATGATGAAAAGTAACTCATTATGAGAAGATTACTTATTAAGAGTATATTTCACTAGTCCGAAAAAGTAGCAAAATAAGCGTTCGGCTTTAACGTTTTATGTAAAACTGGCTAGGCATTTTTACACAAATGAAGAAAGAAATTAAAGATAAAGGATTATACTATATCCGTATTGTAGCACATTTTGAGACAACGTCTTTATTTTAAAGATTTTGATGGTCAAACAACAGCAAAGTATTCCTTATGTTTGGACTAAATTTTCTCCAAAATAAAGATATAATTTAAAATTCCGTCACAATACGGAAATAGATTGAAGTTTTGTGATTACAGTGATATATAATTTATATGGTTTTGTAACAAATTGCTCGCTATTTTATGGCAAATGCTGAAGCTCTGCAAACCTTAATCAAGCCTTAATCAAAGCATGTGTGTTTGGAGTTTTGGGTGTGGCTTAATACGACAGGATCAGGCTAAACCTTAGGCAGATTTCTGAAATATAAGTAATATATATTTCCTTCGGCCACACACCCGCTGTACCCGACCCCTGAGAGCGACCCGAAAGTACAGCGTAATAGACTCGTAAGTGTTCCCTCTTTGATGACCACTTTTCAATTACACAAAGATAAATTTTCCTTAGCTCTAACCTCCATAGAGTGAACAAAACAGAATAGCACTAGCACATAAATATAAACTGTATGTTCACAGTTAAAATAAAAGTACTGTAGGTAGATAATTTTTAAAAATAACTTGAATTCCCATGATAATTTCCAACAGCCCAGAAAGTAATGGAACTTCAATAAGGATTAACTATTAAGCTTTTGCACGTACTTAACCGGCTTCAAGTACTTGCACAGTGTGAAGGGGGCCTTAGCTATCGGGCGAGCAAATGTTACGGGCCGTTGCGTGCCGATGCAATTGCGGCCCATGTCCACACCCGAGGCGATGCCCGATCGCGACGAAGTGCAGAATAAAAGGTCCCAGTTTAATCACTATCGTTATATTTAATCTTTTGGTTGCTTATGAGCCTTTAGGCTAAGTCGCTCTTTTATAATTTTCCACGTTCTTTTCATTCGCTCGCACGAAGCCCTATGTTCAGCGCCTTTGCTTGACAGCGGCGGCGCTTCTGGGTGGTAGGTAGTTCTGATGTAACGAAATATCAATTTTTAAACAGTCGCAAATGCGAAAATTAATTTGTTAACAATAGCTAATATACCTTTATGGCGGGTTCATTTCTTGAAAAGAATTCTGTATTTTTCGGTACTAATATAAAAAATAAAAAAAATTTTTAAGAACGCAACTACGTTGATCAAACAGAAACCAATTTTTCAGTGGTTTTTTAGTAGTAAAACAATTTTGCCTAGCCGATAAAAAAATGCTTAACCGTTTCTCTGAAGTATATCTCCTACCAGAAGCACAAAAACATAAAAAACAAAGAAAAAAACTATTTAAAAGACCTAAATACAACCATTCAAGAACACTTTGGTTTCTTTAGCAAATACTTCTATTATAAACCGTTGACAAAAATGATATATGAAGTCAAATTAGTCTAAAAATTACTACCTGACAACAATTACTTAATGAGGTAAAACCAAAAAGCTTTATACTTTCTGTATCTATATGATTATTTTTAGTTTGTTTTTAATTTTCACTTATGTTGTATTTATTAAAATCAAAGAATCGATAGCCATACATTATACTAACCTCTACAGATGCTTGAGCAATGAGGAATACATTTATTTATTGGATTGGATTAAAAAAACTCTTTTATTTTTCTTTTAGAGGCTGTCGCTTCTTTCATCATAGTTTTTGCGTTGGTAAAATCTACTCTGTGTCCTATGACCCATGAATGCTGACAAATCTTTGCAAAAATCACCATTTTTTAAATAATCTTTATGTTCATTTTGTTTTTTTTTCTCCGTTGGATCAATGCCAATCGTGTTTACAAAAAATAACTTTAATTTTAAAGATTTTCGTCTAGTGGTATTTTTTAATGGTATTTACCAGATATTAATTTGTTGTTTAAACAAATTATATAAAAGATTGTGGATGTTAACTTAAAAATACAAAAAAAATAAAAAAGGTTTTAAATGTTAATTATTTTCTAGTAACGTTTCGATTTTTTTGATATACATATATCCAAATATCCAATTGAAGTGCTGATTACAATAAATACAATTGATATAATTGCAAGACTTGGTTAGCTTAAAAATTATAACTCATTTAGATTTATTTGTTTGGTTTACCCAAACTGATTTACTTATTACATTATTTCGAACGTTGAATTTTGTAGAATGTTCGCATACATTTCTTTTAATGACATTATTTTGACGACGTTTCGTGCACCATAAAACCCCATCATCAATGACGAAAAAATCGTCCGATTTAAACGAAATTTAGTATGTCCACAGGTTGGACCAATGCGAACTTGACACGTGTTATTGTGACAGTTAGATTTGACGTAAGAAACGTCAAAAGTTGATGTCTAATCTCGAACAAATTTGGTGGGTAGGCTATGTGAGCGACGTTGTATACGGTCCCATCCTGCAAAATTGGATAAGATGTTTCGTTTACATCTTCATCAGGGTGGGACTAAGGATTTGATATTGAAGAAAAATGTGGGTCGATTTCAGCATAATTTGGGACAGGTCATAAGATGACGCCCTCGACGTTTCGAACCGATGCCTCAAAATGGACGAAATCATCAGAATTTTTCTCTTAATTATGGATCGATGGGAACCAAACTCGGCACGTGGATAGAGGTACTCGAATGGAGTCCTCAGACGGACAGATGGTCATTTTAATTCAAATTTTGTGAGAGTGAATCAATTTATTTATTAATTTTTAATTTGTTGCTTTTTCAACATTTCAAAATACACTTTTTCAAACATGTCCTTCAAATCCTTCAATTTAATAGCTGTTAGTAAGAAGTTTCACTTCAAATAAGCTCACATAGTACACACACAATTTTTTTTCAATAAAAATGTAAGAACCTCTTTCCTTCAATTATTTAACAAAAAACAAAGTAACGATCTCGACCTAATATTGTCTAGAAAAAAGCATTGAACTCGTGATAATAAAAGATAGTACCTAACTCTAACAAAACTAATAAAAAATATGGTACTTAATCACTTAATCCAATTATTCTGTGCTACAACTCGGAGGAGTACACTGTAAAAAACAGCCTGAGTGAACACATATTTCTCAGGAAGTGAATTTTTTGAGTGAAATAATTGAGTACACTTTCATCTAAAA